AGTCTGCTTCTCCCTCTCCCACTCCCCCTGCTTGTATTCCCTCTTTCGCTGTGTCTCTCTCTGTCAAATAAATAAATAAAATCTTTAAAAAGAAAAGCTGTCCGGAGCAAAGCTCCTGACCACAGTGTGAACAAGGAAGTGGCCAAAGGTGATAGCACACCCCCATCCCTACCACTCCACCCTACACCTCCACAGACAGGGGTAGGGTAGGACTGGTCTTTGGTAAAGAACCACATGTCCATCCTTGTGTTCTAATACCCATGTCAGAGAGATGTACGCAGGACTGACCCCATCCTGCTTGATCTCTCAGCAGCCTTCAACATAGCCAAAATCATTTCTCCTTCTTTTGGCTTCTGTGATACCACCTCTCCTGGTTTTTTTCCTACGTTGTCAGACACTTCTCGGTCTGTTTCTGGTTCCTTATCTTCCCCCTGACCTCCTCACACTGGAATGCTCCAGGTCTCAGACCCAGCCCTCTGTTCTGGCCACGTTCCCGTACAGCCCTGTGGTTTGACAGCCATCCACGCGTTCATGATGTCCACATTTATGTCTCTAGCCTTGTGCCCCTCCCCTGCTTTGTCTTCTTCCCAGCCCTCAGTTCTGTGAAGTCAGTCATTCAGTTGCTTGCTCACTTATTCCCAATTGCCACCACTAGCATGCAGGCACCACGAGAGCAGAGCCCTTGGCTGTCTTGTAGTTCCAGCACATAGCTCTGTGTCTAGCACCTCATGGGTACTTATAAATCCTCACTGACTCAGTGGATGGATGGTCGCTCCCCTGGGAGAGGGTGGCAGATACCTGGTACTGCAGGAAAGTCATAGTGTCCTCACTCAGCAGTAGCTGGTAGGCCTCCTGAATAGACAGTGGCAGATCTTGGTGGAAAAGCTGGATGGAGCCCTGCAAGTGGGGCCAACAGCTCAGCTTGTGGACCTTCCTGCAGTGGCTCAACCAATGCGGCAACATCCAGGCGGTGATACATGGGCGCCCTTCCCTCCCCCTCTCCTCCGCCCCCAGCGTCACAGCAAGAACGTGGCCAACCAGGAAAGGAGGGCACCACCACTAATTTGGACGGGAATCCCCGCTGCCTGCATGGTATTCTTGTCTCCGGTTCTAGAATTCGGGTTACAAGCTTTTTGAATCCTCAGTTGTGTATATACTCTTACTCTAGTAAAAACATGTCCTTTCGGTTCCTTGCTCCCAACCCTTCCTCACGCTCCGGGGGCCCCACTCACACACTCCAGCAGATATAAGGCCTCTTCGGGGTGAAGTCGCTGCCGGCCCTGCTCTGAGAAGCCCATGGTCTGCCAGAATTTACCCTGTGTAGAACCCAGAGCAAATGTCACAAAGGAGCCAGGAAGGCAGAGAAGGCGGCTCCCTCTCCCCGAGCCCCGCCTCTCACCGCAGGAGACTTCAGTTCCACGGAGCCCTCTTCCGGCCTCCACTCGGCAGCCACCAAACTGCCCCTGCCGAAGAGTGGGGAGGGGGTCCGTCTGAGTTCCCCCGTGAAGTCGACGGGGTCCGGCCGTCCCGCCTGCCCCGGCCCCGCCCCGGCCCGCCCCCCTCACAGGCGCTCCACGCGCTCCTCCGCCAGCAGCTGCCAGAGCTCCTCGCGGCACCGGCGCAGCCGCTCGGCCTGCGCGGCCGAGCCGTCGGGGAGGAAGTCCTTGGGCCCATGCGAGCGCTGAGGCAGCTTCTGGGACCGCGAGCGGGCAGCGAGGAGCTCCCGGGCACTGGAGAAGGAAGACACGCGGGGTCAGTGGCCCCGTCCGGGATTCCCGTCCCCTTCCCCCGCGCCCTCTCCGCGTGCCCCGCGCCTCCGCGGGCCGGACCGCACCAGAGCACGCGCCCGGCGGGAACCTCCACAGCAGCAGGGTCGAGCTCGGGCTCCATCGGGCCGCCGTCTGCGGCTGCGCGCGCACCGCCCCCGACCCGCCCACCGCCGGAACTCCGCGCGGCCCTAGAGCCCGCAGGTCCGCCCTCCGCTCCACCAGCCTCCGGCTCGACCAACCGGCTTTCCACCTCCCTGGCTGTCCTGGAGCCTGCCAACAGACTTGTGCCTCGATTCCGGGGGCAGAGATTGCAGGTTTCTGGATTTATAGGAGCTCCCGTCTACTCCCCAGCCCTCCCCTGGGCTCCTCTCTAGTAAAAATTGAGGAACGCGGCGTCTGAGAGTGTAGTATGGACAGTCATATGCGTGACCCTCCCCTCCGCAGCCCTGGGCCGCTTAGTGTCCACCACTTAGGCTGGACAAAGCGGAAAGAGGGAGGGTTTAGAGAAGGGAGAGTAGTAGGTTCCCGCACTCCAGCCTCGCAGACTGGCCACCGGGGGCTGTCAGATGCGGTCTGGGTAGGTTCGGAGTTCCTTCTAGGTCTTCCGTTGGGTCCCTTCCGAGGGGCTCGGAAGACGGGTTTCGAGGGCTGGGGGCGGGAGGAGCTGTCCGACCCACGATGGTGCTGAAGCGCCACTCCAGCCTGTCATTAGCACCCCCTCGAGGCTGGGGTCCCCGCCGCTGCCACCGTGGGCCGCTCCGACATGGTCCGCTAGGTGGCACCATTGCTCCAACCAGCGGCTGTGAGTCGGCGACTCTGGTCGCGGGCGGAGGTCAACGTGGGAGTCCCTGGAGGGGCGATGGGCGAAAAGGCAGGGGGGAGCTTCCCAAGTGGGGTCCCCAGGTCTCGGTTTCCAGACCCCTTCACATCACGTCTTCTCTCCCACTCAGTCATAAACAGGGCATCTCGCCCTTGGGTTTGAACTCTAGGACCCCGGGTCGCGGCTGCTCGGCAACCGGGATGCAGGGCGCCCACTCTGGCCCCTACCACGCCGCTTCACCTGGGCGCATGCGCGGACCCAGCCAGCGTGCCCGGTCCGGACGAAAGCGGTGGGGGGCGGGGTCTGGTACGGATGGGGGCGGGGCCGCAGGCGCTGACTGACAGCCCGACTGCGCGGCCGGGACGGTCCCTCCGCTCCCGATCCGGCGGGAGGGAGGGGGGAGGGGCGGGATTTCCTGCGGGAGGCGCCGAGCCGGTCTTGGAAAAGGAGGAGAAGGAGGAGAAAGGGGGTAAGGGGGTCAGTTGGAGCCACCGTCCAGAGTGCCAGGGACCGAGCAGGGCCAGCCAGACCCCCGGCGGGGCAGCTGGGAGAGGTGAGACGGCGGGGCCTGCGCGGGGGGTTAGCACCTTTGAGGGCGGGCACAAACTAACTTTTCTTTCGGGATCGGCGGGCGCCTTCGTCTCTCTGCTCCTTCCGTCCTCCTCGCGCCTCTGTTCCGTCCTCCCGCATCAATCCCTCCGGCGCTTGGCTCTCCCGGTCGCTCCCGCCGCTTTGTTCCCCGGGTCGGCCTGGGTTGGGCTGGGTTGGGGGATTGCGCGGCGCTGGACGGGCATTCCGGGGGGCGGGGGAGCCAGCCCGACCCCAAGCACTACCAGGGGCGTCCTCCTCCTGTGTCGGCTGCGGGCGAGAGCAGGAGTGCCCTCTGGGTTGGGCTTGGGACGTTCTAGGAGTAAGGAGACCCCAGCTAGGGCCCCAGGCCTGCACGGGTCTCATGCCACAGGGCTTGGGCAACAAATTCCTGGCCACTGAGAACTGACGTAAGCTTTTCTGCAGCGAAGTCGGGGCCCCGGGCCTCGGGTTCAGGCTTGGGGGGGCCAGGCAGCCCCATCTGCCAGCGTGCCCCAGCTCTTGTCTCTGTTCTCTGCCCAGCTGCTTCCCCATCCCGCCCAAGGGGTGAGGATGGGTCAGCAACAGGTGCTGTAAAGCCTCCCTGTCCAGCAGTCAGACCCCTGCCAGAAATGGGGAGCTATAAGCTCCCCACTCCACCCTCTGAATTTGTAAAGAGCCTGGGGCTAGGGCATCCAGCTATTATAGTAAAGCTTAGATTGGGAGGAGTCTAGGGGCAGGCACCTTCCATAGGGAGTGACCCTTGCCTGTCTGCTGTGCCTGGCCCTTCCAGGCCCCGCCTCCTGGCCCACCAGTTGTCTGTGGGTGTCAGAGCCGCAGGCTGTGGAGAACAGGCTGCTGGCCCAGCCTGCCCCAGTGTGTCGTGCTGCCAGGGCCCCTCCTGCCCCAGGTTGAGGTGCTGCCAGGTGCCCTGGGGCCTCAGTGACTCAGCCTCCCTCTCCCAGAAAGTCACTGCCTCCCCCCAAATACTCCTCTCATGCCTGGCAGCTGTCTTCCCGCTCTGAGTGGCTTGGCCCTTCCTTGACTCAGAAGGGCAGCTAGGGTGGTTTGGGGGCTCCCTGGAAGCCCTGTCCTACCCTTCTGAGCCCCGCTTCTGGGACCCTTGCAGGCCTGGCCCCGCCTTCAGCAGAGGCACTGCACCGTTTTCCAGGCCCCTGAGACGTGTCCACTGCTGCTTCCCGAGGCCGGAGGGAATGCTGACTGCGCTCTGGGTGGGCATTGGTGCTCCTGAGCCACGCCGGGAAGATTGGCGTGCCCAGCCCAGCCCATCCCTGGGCCGTCCGACGCGGCAAGCAGATATCTGTCCGGGTTTCCACGCGGCCTCCACCCCCTCAGAGATCGGTGTGCCTGCTTGTGGTGGCTGCTCATGAAACACTTTGAGGGAGTACCCGTCAGTGCCTAACAAGAAGCACACTGCTTGGGACACCAGCCACGCTCCCCCAGGACGCCTGGCCCTCCAAAGGGCCAAGGCATGGCACCCTGACGCCTTGGCTTAGACCTAAAGTTTTCCTGCCTCTGCCCTGGACTCCTGATCCCAGAGCCCAGCCCAGGGACCGGAATGGGTCGTGAACAGGACCTGATCCTTGCCGTCAAGAATGGAGATGTGACTGGTGTGCAGAAACTGGTGGCTAAGGTCAAGGCCGCAAAGACAAGTGAGTGCTTGGTGGGGTGACTGTCTAGCTGAGACCCTGCCCTGAGTGCTCAGGCTACAGAGAGAGGCTTGGGGGTCACTGTGATCTGGGGACTTGGGGTGGGAGGACTGTCCTGTAAGGAATGCCTCTGTGGGAGAGCCACAGAGGAAGTTGGGTCACCCCTTGCTGTGTATCCTTAGGCAAATCACTTAGCCTCTCTGGGCCTCAGTTTCCTGACCTGTGAAGTGAATGGGTTGAAATACATTCATTAGAGGTTTTTTGAGTGCCTACTGTGTGCCAGGCTTTGTTCTAGGCACCAGGCCATTATGTGGCAGCAGGGAATAAAACAGACCGAAATTCCTGCCTTCGTGGAGTTGCCTTTAGCAGGTGGTTTTTCTGATGTATTCTCTGGAGGCAGGAAATTTCTGGCAGTGGGGTTGGGAAAGACTGAACAGCTAGAGTTCCAACCCCATCCCCCTAATTCAACAACAGCAAATCTGCATTTATGGCAGCTTAATGGGGATGCCCATTAAGGATAACTTTTATTTATTTATTTATATTTTTTTAAAGATTTTATTTATTTATTTGACAGAGAGAGACACAGCTAGAGAGGGAACACAATTGGGGGGGGTGGGCGGGGGGAAGAAGGAGAAGCAGGCTTCCTGCTGAGCAGGGAGCCCGATGCAGGGCTTGATCCCAGGACCCTGGGATCATGACCTGAGCTGAAGGCAGATGCTTAACTGACTGAGCCATCCAGGTGCCCCCATAACATAGCTTAAAAAAAAAAAAAAGAGCTCTACTGCTTAAAGCAAAGGTCATCACTATCTCAGCGCTTGCTAAAGCCCCTTCCCCTTGACTTATCTGCCTGTGTCCCCTGGGGGTGTGTGGCCAAAGCTGACTTTCTAGAGGTTTCTCCAAAACCCGGGTTTCCAGTCTTGACAGGGTTGTGGGGGCTCCATGCATGGTAGCCACACCTGAACCCCATCTCTTGGGTACCTCTGTGGTGAGATCCCCCCGACCTCTGGGCTTCAAGGCGAGTTCTCTGAGCTGTCCCAGGAGGACACTGTCCTTGTCCCCTGAGTTTCTAGACCAGCAGGGGCAGGAGGTAGCTCCTGCCACCAGACTGGGGCTGGGGGAGGGAGGGTTCCCTCAGAGTGCTGGGGCTCTAGCCTCAAGACACACCTTGGCCCTGTGCACAGGAAGGGGCCCCCCAGACTGCATGAAGACCTCTAATTATCCTCACCCACACCTGGAAATTGGGGTCCCAGAAGGAAGGATTTGAAGGACCTGGGAGTTGTGTACATGTGTGTGCACCCACCTGCACACCAGGGCAGGAGATCCAGGGTATGGGGAGATGGAGCTTGGCTGGGGGGAGGGGGGAGGACAGGTGGTGTGGTCTCTGTGCCCTGGGGAAGTGGATACTGGGTGAGCACGATGGAAGGAAGGTGCCAAAGAGGTCCTGGGAGAGCCCTGGAGGCCCAAGAGTGGGAGCCACTCCCCCTCCTCCCCTCACCTCTGTGTTGTTTTTGGCGACCTGCCCAGTAGGGCCTTGGTTGAGCTGCTGCTGGCCTCACAGCTCTGGGGCCTCAAAATGAGGCCCTCAGGAGGGCTAGCGGGTGGGATCTGGAGGCTGGTGGCGGGAACCTCACAGCCAGGCCCCTAGGCTCTGGAAGGTGCCCTGTGCCCCAGGGGAAATGTCTGTGGGGGAAGAGATCCCTTCCCTCAGCCCCAAAGAGGACTTGTACATTGTGTAGGCACGGGCACAGAGTGACAGGGTCCTGGGACTCCTTGTGAAGCCCTGGCACGGAGCCTCCCCTCCCAGTCCTCTGAGAAGCTGGGAAAGCTGGTGTAAAATGGAGATCACAAGGTGATGTTTGCAGACCCTATAGTTTATGAAATTGTCTAAACCCTCGATTCCCTGTGAGATGGGTGTTTCAATATCTACTTTACAGATAAGGAAATTGACATCAGAGAGGATTAGCGAGTTGCCCAAGGTCACACAGCCATTATTTGGTGGATCAGAATCGAGTTCCTGTCCTCTCCTCTCTGCTCCTACACTGGGCTGCCCATCAGAATTACCTAGCGATTGTTCTGAAAATGCAGATTCCCTGTTCTCCTTCAGAATTAGAATCGTCACAGAGATCTTGAGACCCTGCGAGTCAGAAAGTTCTCCAGGTGACTCTAAAGCAGGGCTCAGAAGGGAAGCTGGGAACTCCTGCTCCATATCACAGAAGGGCAAAGGAAACTGATGGAAAGGGAGGTGTCAGGGGCTCTCCTTTTTCCTTCTGGTGGGTGGCTAGAGCCTTCTGGCTGGCTAAAGAGAGATGCTCCCTCAGCCCCCTCCATTTGCTCTCTGGTCACTGGGGGGTCGGCATTCCCTGCCCACTCCGGGCCTCTTGAGGGAGCAGGCGGCTGGGAGGAGAAGGGCGCCGTTACCCTGGCCTTGCTGCTGCCCTCCCTCCCTCCCCAGCTCCCTTTTCTGAACTGTCTCCTTCTCTGGCCAGAGGAAATGGAGTGGGCTGAGGGTGGCCCAATGAGCTCACATCCTCTGCCTGAGCCTAAATCAGGAGCGACCCTTCCACCCCCAGAGCCAGGCCGGGAAGAAGGCTGCGCTGCAGGGGAAGTGGCTAGAGCCACTGCCAGGAGCCAGGAGCCTCCGCCCTCCAGCCAAGGTCCCTAGCCCAGGCACTGGGAGCCTCTCTCCCCCACCGCCTTTCCGGCCATTGTTCTGGAAAGAACAGAGCCACCCAGCCTGGCCCTGCCCCTGTTCCTGTCTGTCCCTCCTGTCACATTGTCCTGCCACTCCCCGGAGGGACTGTATCTCACCGCTGAGCTGCCGCATCCCGGGCTGGCCAGGCCTGGCGGCAGGTGGAGGGACTTTCTCCTTCCTGCTGACCTCGCTGTCTTCCGTGAGGCTCGCGGAGGTACCATGGCTGCCCAAGGTCATGCAGCCAGTAAGGGGGAGAATTTGAACCACACACTTCCTGCTCCTAAAACCCCTCTCCTTCCTGTTGCCCTGACTGGCTGTGTGTGACAAGGACTTTCCGAGGGGGCTAGAGGAAGGCTGGGAGGCCTCCGCTTCTCGCCAGCGGCCCCCACCCCCTCACCCCTTCCATCACTGCCAGCTCTGTATTTACCTTTTCTGCGTAGCGTATAGTGTAATTCGGCTCAGTCCTAAATGTAGCTGTCCCCTCTCTCCCCATCCCATGCGCCTCACTCCCGAGCTGATCCCTCCCTGTTGGAATGAGGCCCTGTCTTGCTGGGGTGTTCAGGGGCCCACCAGGGCCTGGAGGGCAGGCCTGGACCAGCATGCTTGGCACCCTGCCCAGCCTGGGTTGAGCCAGGCCTCCTCCTTCCCAGCAGGGGTGGGTTCCAGCAGGAGGCAGGGGCCCGCCTGTGACAGACATTCCTTTTCCTCTCCCAACACTCATCAGGGACCACCCCCTCCCGTGCCCTGGCCGGAGCACACCTGCCTGAATCCTTTCTCCCTCCCTGACAGGGGAATGGACCAGCGTCCTGCCCGGGCCCCTGGCTCCTCTGGCCGCCACCCAGCAGAGAGCCCTCTGCCCGGGCTGTGGACATCTCTGCTGGGAGCCTGTGGGTGCAGAATCAGCAGTTACTCCCCTGACAGGAGTTGGGCGGGGGGGGACGGGCGGGGACCGTACCGATTTGGCTGGAGGACGGCACGTGGACAGTAATGGCTAACGTGTAAGGAGCGCCGAAGGGCGATGGCCCCCATCTGCGGTGGGCCAACAAGGCTCAGGCATTATCCTCGCAAGCCTGGTGAGCAGGTTCTCTGATTGGCCCATCTTACGAGGACACTAAGCCTGAAGGCTAAGTGACTTGCTCGGGATCACACACCCCAGTGCAGGTCTATCCGATGCCACCTTCTTCACTGTTCTCCACTCAGGGATGTCCCCGAGCTTGAGTCCAGCCCTGGCATCTGCCCTGCTACCCTCTGGCATCTAGTGCCCCTCTCCCCTCTCTCCCAGCCCCCTCGGCCCAGTGGGACAATGAGACTCTCCTTGGCCTGCTCAGGCAGGAATGCTAACCATGCGCTCGTGGGCCTGTCCACTGAGGGCACGGCATGCCAGTCCCCCCCTTTCCCACCCCCTTTGGCTCTATAAACAAGCTGGGCTGGGGGCGCAGGGAAGCCAGGCTCCTTCTGTGGGCAGCTCCCTGCACTGGGCACTCTGGAGCTGATGGGCCAGTGGGCCGGCTGGGGAGCCATAGGGACAGGACAGCCAAAGGGCCATGGGGCAGGTGCTTTCTTGCACACCAAGAGGTCAGCGGGATTGGGGAGCAGCATGGGGAGGGAGAACTGGTTAGGATGCAGGTAAGGGCAGATCATTCTAGAGTGTCCTGATGCCCTCTGCTCTGATCCCCCAGAGCTCCTCGGCTCCACAAAGAGACTCAATGTCAACTACCAGGATGCTGATGGGTGAGTGTGAGCCCACATCCCTCTCGAGAGCTGTGGGGTGGGGGAGGGGTAAGGGGAAAGACCTGGGCCCTAAAGTCTCTTCCCCTCTTAAACTTGGCCCTTGAATTGTGTTCGCTGAAGCTCTTGTCTGTGCACACCCTCCTGCCTGTGGAGCTATCCTCGAGTGAGGGGAGGGAGCCCCGGTGCCTCTCGGGGGGGCCTCCTGGGTCAGATTCCTGGTAGGCCCCCTTTTCTCCCCAGAGGGCAGGAGCCTTTGGGCTCCTGCTCCCACGGCCCCCTCCCCTGGGCTGGCTGGCGGGGGAGGCCAGACAAACAGGCCTCTCAGCCCAGACACTGAGCCCTTTCATGCTGTAGGCCGGCAGCTCTGCGCTCCCACGGCAGGGCTGGCAGGGTGGGGGAGCGAGGGCACAGTGGGCAAGGAACTCAGCCCTGCCAGCCTCCGGGTTGAGTCTGGTGTGGAAGACTAGGATTTGGGGGCTGGGGGACTGCTCAGTTGACACCCCTCCCTTGTGTCCCACCACACCAGATTCTCTGCTCTTCATCACGCCGCCTTGGGGGGCAGCCTGGAGCTCATAGCCTTGCTGCTGGAGGCCCAGGCCACTGTTGACATCAAGGACAGCAATGGTGAGACCCCAGTGTGTCCCCCTCGCCACCCCCTGTGGTGCGAGTTTGCTCCTGCCACATCCTAGCAATGCTAGTACATGTTGGCATAGTTTCTCTGGCTTGCAAACGCCTTACCTTTTTCATCTTCACGGCCTTCTGGGGGTGATGGGTGGTTCTAATACCCCGTTATCCAGAGGAGGAAGCTCAGCTTACCTTCCTGTCCGGAGGTCCCACCAGATCACCCGTGGTACGCCAGGTGGGATTCCGACTTCAGCCCCATACGGCTGGACATTTCCCTGACCGAACCAGCATCCCTTGCCTTGGGTCTGTCTCCCCCTCCAGCTTGGGGGGGGCCTCCGGACTCTGCTCAGTTCCTTCCCCCGACCCCATAGCATCCCAGGACCTCCTCAGACCCACCCCACCCCCGCAGGCATGCGCCCACTGCACTACGCAGCCTGGCAGGGCCGGCTGGAGCCCGTGCGGTTGCTGCTGCGTGCTTCTGCGGCCGTCAACGCCGCCTCGCTGGATGGACAGATCCCGCTGCATCTGGCCGCCCAGTACGGACACTATGAAGTGGTACGGGAGTCCGCCTGCCCGCGAGGGGCGCTGGAGCGGGGCGGGGGGGCGGGAGGAGGGGGGCTGGCTGGGCCAGAGCCCTCACTCATCTTCCTCCACCCCAGTCAGAAATGCTCCTCCAGCACCAGTCCAATCCCTGCCTAGTCAACAAGGCGAAGAAGACGCCCCTGGATCTGGCCTGCGAGTTTGGGCGGCTCAAGGTGAGGCCTGCAGCTCCTGGGGTACTGGGCCCTGGGTGGCTGTCAGGGTTCTCAGGAGGAAGCCCTACGTGGGTGCTGCTTGCCGCAGGTGGCCCAGCTGCTGCTGAACAGTCACTTATGTGTGGCGCTGCTGGAGGGCGAGGCCAAGGACCCCTGCGACCCCAACTACACCACGCCCCTGCACTTGGCTGCCAAGAACGGCCACAGAGAGGTCATCAGGTACCCACTGCCCCCCCCCACTTCCTCATCCCCTTCCTGCAGAAAGGGTGATGGCCCCTCGGTGCCCTGCCCTGCGGCCCTCTTCACCCCGGTTCTGGGTCACTCTCCCAGCCCCCCGGCAATCTGCTTCCTCTCCTGCTCCCTACCACCCCTGTGACTTGCCCCCCCCACGTCCGCAGGCAGCTCCTTAGAGCTGGGATCGAGATCAACCGCCAGACCAAGACCGGCACGGCGCTCCACGAGGCTGCGCTGTATGGCAAGACGGAGGTGGTGCGGCTGCTTCTGGAGGTGGGTGTGGGCGCCCGGTCACCCCGCACACGGGTGTGGAGCCCCCGCTGGGTGCCGCGTCCGAGACCAGCTGCGGAAGCACGGGAGGGGGTCTGCACCAACAACGTGGCGTTTGGGTGGGCCGCGGCCTTGTGGCCGGAGAGCAGACAGACCTGGTTCAAGCCCCGGTTCTGCCTTACGCCAGCTCAATGACCTTGAGCTCATCCTCGATCCTGTCTCTGAGCTTCCATTTTTTCATCTGTAAGATCTGAAAATAGTGGGTACTGTTTGCCTCCTGGATAGTGGTGAGGCTTGGGGGAAATGGCAAGCAAAGCGCTTCGTGCCTGCTCACACTGCCCTGTGCACCCAGGGCGGGGTGGACGTGAACATCCGGAATACATATAACCAGACAGCGCTGGACATCGTGAATCAGTTCACCACCTCCCAGGCCAGCCGAGAAATCAAGCAGCTCCTGCGGGGTGAGTGTGTGTGAGAGAAGACCCGGCCCAGGCTGGGGGTCCGGAGCCACTCCAGTGAGGACTACGAAGTGAAGCAGGAAGTGTCCCAGGAGCAAGATGTCACACTGCCAAATGGAGGGCTGGTCAGGGGACTGCTGCAACAGGAACCTGGGGGAAGGGTTGTGAAGGGGACGGGTCAGGCGGGAAGATGCCCTAAGGACCCTCAGATGATGCCTGCCCTGCCTCTTCTTTCAGAGGCCTCGGGGATCCTGAAGGTCCGAGCACTCAAGGATTTCTGGAACCTCCACGATCCCACTGCTCTCAACGTCCGGGCAGGGGATGTCATCACGGTGAGGACCCAGTGCGGGCGTTCCTTTGCTAGCACCGATGATTGCTATCACACGGGTGCCTGCTGTGGATCGGGCTCGGTGCTAAGGTCTTTCTGTGCACTGTCTCATTGAATTCCTCCCCATCCGGGTAAGGTAGGTGCTGTTTAACTGTTTCCTTTCTGGAGAGGACAAAATTGAGTCTTAGAGAAATCAAAGTGGTTTGCCCGAGACCCCATGGCGAGCAGCAGCGTTGGGATTTGAACCCAGGCTGACTCCGGGACTCTTGACACAGAGGATCGGGCTGGATGCTGGCAGGAGGTGCAGAGCTGGGGGTGCACTCGGGCATCAGCTTCTTGTGGGGAGAGGAGGAGCCGGGCTGTGGCCGTAGGGCTGGCTGCCTGCCCTTGGCGGGTGCAGGACATAATCGCGGTCATCGCCCTCCAACGCCCCACAGGTGCTGGAGCAGCATCCCGACGGCCGCTGGAAGGGCCACATCCACGAGAGCCAGAGGGGCACGGACCGTGTGGGCTACTTCCCCCCAGGCATCGTGGAGGTGGTCAGCAAGCGGGTGGGCGTCCTTGCGCCCCGCCTCCCATCGGCCCCCACGCTCCTGCGTCCAGGCTTCTCCCGGACACCACAGCCCCCTGCTGAGGACCCCCTACACCCTTTGACCTGTGGCCAGCTCCCTCGGGAGGGCCTCAGCCCAGACAGCCCAGGTGCATCCTCCCAGAGGGCGGTGCTGGGCACCAGGGTGGGCGTCTGACCTCGGCAAGCTGCCAGTCAGCTGTTGGCAGGGCCAGCTGGGGCTCTAACCCCTTTGCTTGTGGCCCTGCAGCAGGTGACAGGAATAGTGTGGGCAGCGAGGGCAGCGTGGGCAGCATCCGCAGTGCCGGCAGCGGGCAGAGTTCCGAGGGCACCAATGGCCATGGCACTGGCCTTCTTATCGAGAATGCCCAGGTAGGAGGGTGGAGGAGGGAGGGGGCGCTGGGACCAGGACAGGGCCCTCCATCCTGCTGTCAGCTCCCCACATGCTGAGTAGCCTCTTCCCGGCCTCTAGCCGCTGCCGTCCCCCGGAGAGGACCAGGCGCTGCCAGGACTGCACCCCCCACCCCTGGCAGGTAGGAAGGGTGAATGGTACCTGGGTGGGCACCCCTCCAGCATGTCACACCTGATTCTACCTCTCTCCCTCCTGAAGACAACCTGAGCCACCGCCCTCTGGTCAACTATCGCTCCGGGGAACAGCTCTTTATGCAGGACGTGAGGCCGGAGCAGCTGCTGGAGGGGAAGGTGTGACCCCCCACTGGGAAGCGGGCTGTGGGCCCCAGGGGTGCGGTGGTGTGGGATGGGCCCCCGCTCAGGCCAGGCGCCTAGGGGAGGCTGGGGCAGATGGCTGGGCCACGGCCTCGGCTCCTCCTCCGTAGGCGCCGCTGTTAACATCAGCCCCTGCCCCCATACCGCAGGATGCTCAGGCCATTCACAACTGGCTGAGTGAGTTCCAGCTGGAAGGCTACACCGCCCACTTTCTGCAGGCCGGCTACGACGTGCCAACCATCAGCCGTATGACTCCCGAGGTAGGGGCCACGGCTGGAGGGCAGCGGAGGGCCCGGTGGGCGCCGGAGGGGGCCTGATGGCGCGAGTCTGTGTGGCAGGACCTGACGGCCATCGGCGTGACCAAGCCTGGGCACAGGAAGAAGATTGCCTCAGAGATTGCTCAGCTCAGCATCGCCGAGTGGCTGCCCAACTACATCCCGGTAAGCAGGTGGCCGGCACCGGCTCCCCCCCTCAGCCGCGCCGTGCTGGCCCTTCCTGGCTGGGGCGCCGAGGCCAGCCCAGGAGCCAGCTCCCATGGGCTGCTTTTGCAGGCGGACCTGCGCGAGTGGCTGTGTGCGCTGGGGCTGCCGCAGTACCACAAGCAGCTGGTGAGCAGCGGCTATGACTCCATGGGGCTGGTGGCCGACCTCACCTGGGAGGAGCTGCAGGAGATCGGGGTCAACAAACTCGGTGAGGACTGCCCTGGGGCCTCCTGGCCGGGCCCCCACATGCCTCCAAGGGGCTCTAAAACGTTTCAGGGTTCAAGCCCAGCGGGGAGAATAGGGTCCAGGAGGGACTGGGGTGGGCCTTTGCAGCCCTAGCTGACCCTGTGGCCTCTACCCATCCCCTCTCAGGTCATCAGAAGAAGCTTATGCTGGGAGTGAAGCGGCTGGCCGAGCTCCGGCGGGGCCTACTGCAGGGGGAGGCCCCAGTGGAAGGCGGCCGCCGGCTAGCCAGAGGCCCGGAGCTGATGGCTATCGAGGGGCTGGAGAATGGGGACGGTCCGGCTGCCGCTGGCCCACGCCTCCTCACCTTTCAGGGAAGCGAGCTAAGCCCAGAGCTACAGGCAGCCATGGTGGGGGGCGGCCCTGAGCCCCTCCCCCTGCCCCCTGCCCGCTCCCCCAGCCAGGAGAGCATTGGAGCACGCTCACGAGGGTCGGGTCATTCACAGGAACAGCCTGCCCCCCAGCCCAGTGGAGGAGACCCCAGCACCCCACAGGAGAGGAACCTTCCAGAGGGCACAGAGCGACCCCCTAAGCTTTGTTCCCCACTTCCTGGCCAAGGGCCCCCCCCTTATGTGTTTATGTATCCCCAGGGCTCACCCTCCAGCCCAGCCCCAGGGCCACCTCCTGGCGCACCTCGTGCCTTCTCCTACTTGGCTGGTCCCCCTGCCACTCCTCCGGACCCGCCTCGGCCCAAGCGCCGGTCCCACAGCCTGAGCCGCCCCGGCCCTGCTGAGGGGGAAGCAGAGGGGGAGGCTGAAGGGCCGGTGGGCAGTGCCTTGGGCAGCTATGCCACCCTCACCCGGCGGCCGGGACGCAGTGCCCTAGCGCGGACCAGCCCTAGCCCGACCCCAGCTCGAGGGGCTCCCCGCAGCCAGTCCTTTGCCCTTCGTGCCCGACGCAAAGGCCCGCCACCCCCACCTCCTAAACGCCTCAGCTCCGTCTCTGGCCCCACCACGGAGCCGCCTCCTGTAGATGGAAGCCCGGGGCCTAAGGAGGGGGCCTCTGTGCCCCGAAGGCGAACACTGAGTGAACCAACTGGCCCCTCGGAGCCCCCCGGCCCGCCTGCCCCGGCTGGCCCCGCATCGGACACAGAGGAGGAGGAACCAGGGCCGGAGGGGACGCCCCCATCTCGGGGCAGCTCAGGGGAGGGGCTCCCATTTGCGGAGGAGGGGAACCTGACCATCAAACAGCGGCCGAAGCCAGTGGGCCCCCCACCCCGGGAGGCGCCTGTGCCCGCTGGCCTGGATTTCAACCTCACCGAGTCAGACACTGTTAAGCGGAGGCCCAAATGCCGGGAGAGAGAGCCGCTGCAGACGGCACTTCTGGCCTTCGGAGTGGCCAGTGCCGCGCCCAGCCCCTCCGCCCCCCTGCCCTCGCAGACCCTCAGCGAGCCCTCCTCAGCTGCTCCCAGCCCTCCCCAGCCTGACCCTAGCAGCCTTCCAACTCAGGGAGCTCTGGCCCCTCTTTCTCCCAGCCCCCCAGCCCAGCCCCCTGCGCCCCCCGCGCCCCCCGGCCCTGGGCCTGCTCTGGAAAACAGTGCAGGCAGTCGGCGGCCTGGGGAGACGGAGCCCCCTGCTTCCCCTGCTGCCCTCATCAAGGTGCCGGGTGCAGGTATGAGGCAGGGCCTGCAGGGGGGGGCGTCGTGTGCAAGGGTTGTGTCCAGCCATCCGAGTCACAGCCAACCTTTTTGCCTCTGCAGGAACGGCCCCCAAGCCTGTGTCTGTGGCCTGCACCCAGCTGGCATTTTCTGGCCCTAAGCTGGCTCCCCGGCTCGGCCCCCGCCCCGTGCCTCCTCCGAGGCCAGAGAGCACTGGGGCCGTGGGCTCTGGCCGGGCCCAGCAGAGGCTGGAACAGACCAGCTCATCCCTGGCAGCTGCGTTAAGGGCCGCAGAGAAGAGCATTGGCACTGAGGAGCGAGAGGGGTGAGGGGTGCTGGGTGCTGGGCGGGCGGGTGGGGAGGGAGAGGGCTGCAGTGGAGGAACAGCTCCTCTAAATCCTCTTCCCCAGGGTCCTGGGCATGTTGGTGGGGGAGGGGAGCAGACAGATCGTTAGAGTGGGGTGACCCTCATGGGAATGGGAGGAGCCCAGGTTCTGAAGTCACCCAGATCTGACCTGTGGGGAATCCTGGTGGCTGCCACTTAGAGGCATGGGAGCTTGAGCACATCACTTCCTCCTGAGCCCTAGCACCCTCACGTAAGGGAGGCCGTGAGAAGTTAAGATGCACACAGAGTGTTTGGCACCGGCCAGGCATTCAGGCACAGCCCCTGGCCCACCCACGGCCCACTTTCTGATCGGACCCGGTCCTTGCAGCCCTCCCGGCACCTCCACCAAGCACATTCTGGATGACATCAGCACCATGTTTGACGCCCTGGCTGACCAGCTAGATGCCATGCTAGACTGAGCCTCTGGTGGCCTTCAGCAGCGCCCATCATGACCTGCAGTGTCTGCGGCCTTTGCCCCCGCGCAGAAGCGTGCCTGCCCAGGCGGGGGCCGTCCTGCCACTCCAGGCCAGCGGCTGTCGGCGCTGCAGCGCTGGGGGGCCGTCTCCACGGGAGGCTGAGGGGACTTGTCAGAAGCTGACATCTCAGCAGAGCCCCCTCCCGGTGTGTAACCTGACCAGTCAGCCCTGCCCCGTGGACAGGGACCCTGGCAAGAGCTTCCTCCCTGGAGAGAAAGAGGTGGCTTCTGGGGTGCTCCCTCTGCCCTCCCCCACCTCCAGGGGCTCCAGTCCCCGTGCCAAGGACCTCTTGACACCTGCCCTGCTGTCCGGGCACACGCGGAGGCTGGAGAAGGCTGTGTGTCTGACCGGGTCCACACAGGTGTACACAGGACATATAACTAAGCGGCCAGGGGCTTGCTCTCGGTGGCGGTGGGCCCCTGCTCGCCCCTGCCCGCCCCTGCTCCTGCCCGCAGTGAGGCAAAACTGGCAGGGGTAGGGCCAGTGGGAGCAACAGATCCCCAAAGTCCAAACTTTTTCAACTGTAAATGTTATTTTTTAAGGAGAGAGAAATGCATATATTTTAAATGGAATTTATTCTATCTATAACCGCCTGAGAGGACACGGGGGAAGAGGCTTTGGACCACGGCACGAGTGCGCATGATTCGCCTCGGGGCTGGAAGGCTGATCTGGGTGGCCCGGGCCCTGGCTCTGTAACCATTAACCTCTTATCCTAACTAACCCCAATGAAAGTGTCATTCCACGTGATCGGGCTGTGTGTTTGGATCTGTGCCACGGACCTCTGAGCCCAGGGTTCTCGCCTGGGCCAGACCCGAGGACTCCTGCCAGTGGGGAAGGAACAAGGCTCGGGCCCTCCCCTCCCCTTCGGGGCTCCCTCACCGGCCAAAGCCTTGGGTGGGCCCCTGAGTGGCTGCCTCATGGACCAGCCACGGATTTTTCTTAAGCAGTTGACAAGTTTTAATACAAACCAGTCTACATTCATTCCTAAAAGGCTCATTTCCAGTAAAAAATATACACCAGTAAAAACATTCTCACAGGAGAACTAGGGCAGGGGGCCAAAGGAGCCCTGGGCCATATCCCCAGGACTGGCGCTCCAGGCCAGCTTGAAGGCGGGCACAGGAAGAGGTAACCAGGGCAAGGCAGGGGGTCTTCATCTTCGGGACTGAGTGTGAGGCTCCCCCACAGAGGGAGGGAGGGGGAGTACTCGACCACCTCCAGGCCCCCACCCCAGGAAGACAGGTGGGGTGCAGGGAGGATGCACCAGCACTGCTCCCTTTCACGGTAGCCTGTCTGAACCCCCCACGGCTGCTGCCACTGAGGTCCTGGCCCCACCAGGTTCATGGCTCTGCCCGGAGACCCAAGAGCAGAGGGCCCTGGGCTAAGAGACCCTAAAGGAGGCAGCCCGCAGGCGGAGGAAGCTAAGGGCCCCTCTGCTAAGTGCACTAGGTCATACATTCAAGACCAGACTGTCCTGATGCTGAGGCCACAGCTCACCAGCTCCTCCACGGTAAGCCCTGGGGATCAGGACGACAAATGGGTCGGACGAGGAGCTGGGCCTCCCGTGACACAGGCCGCGAGAGGAAACCCTGAAACATTCACGATACCAACTCCCCAGACTCAGAAACTGGTCTGGCTTTAGCCCCGGGACCTGGGCAACGAGAACCACTGTGGCCAATGGCTCAGAAGGGGGAGTTCATGCCCAGTTTCGTTTCAAACTGCAGTTTCTGCCGCTTCTGGTAGCGAACCCGGACCCTGGTGGGGCAGGAAATGAGAGCTCAGGTTAGAGCAGAAGCCCAGACCGGGGACAGGGCAGGACCCCAGAGGAGGAGGGAAGTCCAGGCAGTGGGGACAAGCCGGGGAGCTGTGCCCAGGAGGTTACGGGCCTAGGGATCGAGCCTGAGCGCAGAGGGCGCGCCCTGTTGGCGGCTCACCGAATCTCATGCAGCTTCACGATCTCGTTGGTGACCACCACAAGCACCAGGGAGAGGCAGCCCAGGAGCCACGTCAGCAGAGGCACGTCCTCCAGGCCAAAGTGGACACGGCTGTCCCTGTGCGTCCACAGCTGCAGGTCCACTGCCGTCTGGACCACCTGCCCCAGCAGGCTGCAGGGAGAGGTGACAGCCCTGCATGACCCTGGGCCTTCTTGCTTCCTTCCCTGCCTTTCTCAGTATGAGTAGCTCAAGGAGGGCAGCATCTGACCTCTGGCTCAACTCCCTGAAGCAGGACTGGTCTGAAGTCCTGCTCCTACCCCCCCACCCCCACCCATCCATCGGCAGATACTCACACCACGGGCACGGTCACGGCCCACCAGAGGTTTGTCAAGGGGCTCTTTCGCCACAGGGGCTTGGTGCGATGCACGTGGGTGATAGAAATGAAGACTGGAGAAAACAGGGTCAGTGGGGGGGGCGGCGTCAGACGTCCCCCCATCCACAGCCCCCACTGGCCCCTCCCGGGGAGCCCCTCACCTGTGTGCAGGACGATCAGGGCAGCGGTGAGCTTCTGAGCCGTCAGGAGCCCGTTGGCGAAGTCGCCAAACCAGGCTGGAGCGGTGTCGGCATGACTGTCAGAGTAAGGGGTGGACTCAGCCCCCCGCTGGGCCCCGGGAAAGCGGGCGGGGGGCCGGGGTGGGGGGCGCGAGGTCAGGACCCACCTGCGCAGCATGATGGAGGAGCAGTTGGTGAGGCTGCGGGCCCGGGAGCTGTCACAGAAGCTCTGCAGCGTGAAGCCAAAGCAGACGAGGCACGAGCTGATGGTGAGGCTGAATTTGAGCAAGAAGCAGAACAGGAAGTAGTGCTGGGTCTGCAGAAAGAGGAGCGGCCCGTCACTCCCGGGGCGGCGACCCCTCTGGCCCCGGGCTCAGCGGGCCCTGCAGGAACCAGGCAGGCCCCGGGGGGAAGAAGATCCTTCCCAGCTCTGTGCCACCACCTCCCCTCTGGTTGGGGGAAGTTCTGACGGAAGCCCCTGTCTCTCCCCCAAGTCTCCCCCCCCACACACACCCACGTTCCTCAGGAAAGGCCGTGGCTCACAGGGCTCCACGTTGCTTACCTTCTTAGGAATGGACTGAAGGTTCTTCCCTGTGGCCATAGACATGATGGAGCTGTGGGGGGGCTTCCCCAGCAGAGAGATGCTGAAAAGGAGGGACTTGGTGAAGGTTGGGGACTGTGACCCTCTGTCCCCCAATTCCCACATGGGAAACCTTTCGAGAGTTTTGGGAGTGAGGGCAGGTCTGGGGGGAGATGGGATAAGACAAGGGAGAGTCCCCCCGCCCACCAGTGTCTCCTGTGCCAGGGGTGGTGAGCACTGAGCAGGTCTCCCAGGACCGGGGCTCCCAGCCCCGCCTGCCTGGACCCGGAGGGGCAGCCTGACTCTCACCTGAGCAGAGGGTAGCAAAAGCAGGACAGCCAAAGGATGTCGGTGGTGCTCAGTAGCGGCGGCAGCTGAACCAGGCAAGAGAGGAACTAGACCAGGAGAGCCCAGGAAGCAGGATTAGGTTCTGTCACATAGTAGGTTGCTGGGAGCCCCAGGGCTGCCTTGCCCTGTGCCCAGACAGATGCCCAGGGGAGCTAGGGCTGCAGGGGCCGCTATTCTGCTGATGGGGTCACCTCCAAAAGCCTGGGGGTTCCGCAGAGGCCAGGGGCCCCCTAGGCTATGTGGTATCCCCCCAGCCTGCCACCCCAGACTCTTAGCCGGGCCCGGAGCGGAGGAGCGCGTGGGGAGGGGCAGTGCCTGTGCAAGCCCAGCTCACCTGGATGACCACAAGGGTCAACTGGCACTGCAGCAGGAAGAGGAAGCACTTGCGAATGCCGTAGGTGGCATGCCGCGCCTAGGGACCGGGAGGGACAGATTGTGGCCAGGCCTACAGCTGACAAATCTCAGCCAAGAGCCAGATGCCCCAGATGCTCCTGCTAGCAAACGGTGCGGGCCAATGAAACTGCCGGGGAAAGCCTCTCTTGGAGGGAAATCAGCCCCTGGGAGCCCAGACGGATCCTGTGTCACTCTTCCCCACCCCACGCAGCTCCCCCCAGTCTCTGCCCCCTCCGCCTGCCCGAGCCCCAACCTGCTCAATGAGCCGGATGATGCTGATGGTCTCCTCCTGGCGAAAGGTCAGGGAACAGGGTAGGCTGTTGAGCTGCCCCGAGAGCTGTAGGGGAGAAAGGCCATCCGAGGCCTGGGCCATGCTGGTGCTGGTGGCGTAGCCAAAGGTCTCCCAGGAGCAGCGGGATGGGTACAGGGGATCCAGGGCAATGCTGCTCAGCGTAGGGGGAAAGCACAGCCATCAGCTACACTCTGCAAACATCCCATCCCCCATGGGACTAGGCAAGCACCCACTCCCTCTCTCCCCTCCGTGCCCAGGTCCGTTGGTCCCAACCATACCAAGACCAGCCACGGAATATGCCCCGGCCCCAAGCAAGCCCCCACTCTCAGGCGTCCCCCTGACCTGATGTCACTCTGGAGGAAAAGGCAACTGTTCCTGAGATTAGCAGAGCTGCCCAGGCAGCAGGTCACCTCCCCATATTCCTGCATGATCTTGATCATCTCACACATGGCTGAGGGGGCAGAGTCGGGGGGCATAAGAGTCAGGCGGGCGGAGCCCTGTGTGAGGCTCTGGGCAGAGACCCACAGGGCAGGAGAGCAGGAGACAGGGGAGAGCAGGCCCCACTTTGGGGACAGTCCTCCCCCCAAGAATGTGAATATCATGTAACTACTGTCACTTCTGACTCCCTAGAAGGGGCACACCCACAGCTCCAGCCCGCTACGTTCCCCGGCTCCTCCCAGCTCAGGTTGCTCGGCTCCCCGCATGGGACAGCAACATCTCCTGCAGAGCCCACCGGGTCAGGGTTAGGGTTACCGGGAGCCCAAGCCTCCTTGGTAGCCGTGGCTACGGTACTCACTCTCGGGGGTACAGTCGGTAAATAGGGGCACTAGCAGGGGCACATTGTCAATGTTCTGCAGGTGGGGGCGCACCTGGTGGATGCCGCGCGGCAGCTTGGCCTGGAGAGAACAGAGGTGTCAGTAGCCTCAGGGTCGGGAGAAGGGCACCTCCCTCCCTCCCTTCTCTGGACCAGCCAGTCAGCTACCTCAGGTAGTCCAGGGGCACAGACCCTGCCATCCTACCCGGTTGCAGTCCTCCAGGAAGCTGGGGAGGTCACTGTCTGTAGGCTGGAAGCTGATGAGGTCTGAGTGACCCTCCTCCTCCAACAGAAGGAGCCCTTCCGCATCATCTCGGGACACTGTGGGGATGAAAACCCGTCCTTCACCTTGGAGTCAGCCTTCTGGGGGCCTTTCCTTGCCCTGAAGATGGCAGAGAACTTCCTGCTTCCGGTTTCCTCTCCTCCACGGTCGACTGTTGTTACCGCAGGGAGACGAGAGCAATTTTCCAAGGGAGTGCACTTCTCGGGAGCGGAGCGAGCTACGGGGTTTCTTTCTAGCTGTAGCTCCAAGGTGGGGGAACTGCCCACACCTACCTCGTCCCCATCACAAACCTGTGCCCTTACCCTGATTCAGGTCATCATGCAGGGAGCCAGCATGGCTGGGGCTGGAGGGGGGGATCTCGGAGCCAGGCAGGTCACCATTGGGCGTGAGGGAGATGTGGCAGTTCCAGCCTGTCTCCAGGCCCATCTTTTCTGCAAACACCTGCAAAAGGCAGACGGCAACGAACAGATGGGCCCGTGAGCCCACAGGAGAAAGGGTCAGTGGAGGCAGAGGGGGATGGCGTTCCCCCCCACCTTGCTTTTGAGCTCATCCTC